AAAGAAAAACATCGATAAGGCACATGTTCAGAGCAAACAGATCTGACTTGTAAATTTAATGGACGTAACTTAAAGAGGTTACAGTTTACGACGCAATGTTTCGAAACTCCAGTAGGGTTGGGCGATATTAAACAAAACACATCATGATTATTGTTTAGGAAATTATTCGATAATATCGCGATAAATGTATTAAAAACAATACCGTTGTTGCAATTTTAGATAATATACAGTAAAAACATATTAACGTGACAAAAATAAGATACATCAGTTCATATCTTATTTATAAAGATCAAATTTTATTTCATCATTGCATAAAGCTGTCCACTGCGATAATGGCAAAGCTGGGAAAATTGTATGTTGGAGGAACGATGTACACATGCCAAACAATATCGCGATATTCATTGACCATTACGATATGTGCATGATCACTCATGTTTCTACCTTCGATACAATAATCAAAAGACAGGTAAATTTTTTATATTTTATATTGGGTTTCTCATTTGTGTCATTTTAAACTGCCAACTTCAAACAAATGGTAATCAGTTCAAGGGTTCAGTCATTTGAAAATACGTGAAATGACAAAAATGTGTAATGATGTAATATGTTTATTTCGGTTTGCGATAGTCGCACTACACTTTGGAAATCACATATGTTGTATGAATTATTTTTTATATTAAGTCGCTGGGACCTAGGGCTAGCGACTATAGACTTGCTTTTCACTTTTCTACTCTTAATGAAAAAGTTTTAACATGTTTACCCTGCTTGTGACGTCATAAAAAGTCAGTTAATTACAGTAGGTCAATTATAATACCAAAATGGCGGACTGCACACTGTTTTCGGACAAAATATGTCGTAAACCGAGTGAGGCACTAAAAAGTTGTAAAGGGTCTTCAGATATAATTATAAAAGTTCTTTCAAATAAGACAAAGTTGATTTTTATTGCCATATCCCTTTAACTATGGTTTTGATGACCTCAGGAGTTTGGTTAACCATATAAAACTACTTTAAAGTGACCGAAAAATTTTCAAATGTTTTTAATCATTTCTAAATTTCAGACAGCAACCAGAGACGAAGTTTTGGACTCATATTGATCGCTTACTCTCAAGATAAAAAATTAGCGTGACCCCTCTCTTGACGTAACATGCATATCCTCAAAAATCCAAGATGGCGAACAGCTCACTTTTCTCAGTCGAAATATTTTGAAAATTAAGCAAAATATAAACAATCTGTAAGAAAGTTTAATATATATTTTAAAGAGTTCTTTCAAGTGAACTTAATTAATTTTTTTATTGCCAATGTCACCACGCCTATAGGAAGAACATTCCAAAGTGCCTATGAAATGAAATTTTTTATTTCAGTATTTGGTACTTTTGGCAACGGAGATTTCGAATTTGATAATAAAAATGTCAAATTTTAAGAGCAAACAGTAGTTTTTGCAAGCTTTTGTAACGTTTTTATCTTGAAAAAGTGGTCCGGAGACTGGGAACGAATCGAATACGCGTGATATAATTAGCAGGGCACGAGAAATTAACACGAGTCAACACAATACAAACAATATAGCACAATGTCGTCGACTGTAGTGATATTTCTGTTGCTGTTTCGGATTCAAGCGATTCAAGTATGTTTTTTGGCGCTCATTATATGCCGTGTGAAGGTGAACCATTAAATCCTCAGGGAGACGATCTAATGGACGATATAAGCGAAAAAACGACCAAGGAAGCCGATCTGGATGGATTGACGCCGGCCATTCTAGAGGCTAGATATGACCGAAAGAATAAAGTTGATTCTTGGTAGGTAGCCTTTTTTCAGTTTGATACATTTGAACTTCAGTTTTAAATCATTAAATTTGACAAAAACACTCGATTCAACTCGCTGCTTCAATTTGATATAGGTGTAAATGTGGCAAGTGCTCGGATCGAAACTTGGTTGATGCACATGAATACCGATGTTACCATGAAATTGTTGAAGCGCTTGGGAAACTAACAATCGACGGGAGCATCGCCGGAGAAAATTTCATGTTTGACATTGCAAGACTACAAGGCCACGACGAACGAGGCTGTGTTGGCTCAAGTCGGCCCTTTATTGAGAGACCAAAAGGGCAAAGCTATAAATGACGTTCAGGAACTCCTTACAAAAGAGTATTGTGGTCATTTCATGCTGTCAAAGTTCTAGAATTACTGCAATTTTTACGTTTTATATTTCGACAAAAAACACTTTCCAAATGTGGATAGTTTTTAATAGTTTAATAATACAGTAATAGAGCCATGTTTATTTATATCGAACAACTATAATGATACGTTTCCGATATGCCTTCAAAACATATACAAAGGCCAGCCTGAAGGGTGGATTATAACATCTTAAAGTTACTGCATTGCTCTACTCAAACACAATAATGATGTCAAAGTACTATAATAGGCTAATACAGTAATGAAACACAAACTGTGTTTTATACACTGAGATTTATATGGTGAAGTTCAACGGTTTGGCTGGTCTTGCATTTTGGTACATTACATAGTCTGCTATTTCCCCTTTTAATACTAACTTTTAACCCTGTGAATAATTTTAAATATAAGTAATTTTAAATATTTCTCAACCGCTTCTGCCTTCGCTATTAAACGTTCTGTAAACAGACTGGTCAAGGATTTCGGTTGCAAAGACTGATATTGCTTGCCAATCTCTTCCAATGCTGTGCTATCAACATGCAGTAAACATAATTTCTCCTATGCAGTATTGCAGTTGACATACTCTATATGAAACGTAGACAATTTGTTAACCATATTGTACCAAAAACACCATTGCCCATTTCCCTCTAATACCAATCCCCCCACCAACCTTTAAAACAAAGAACACCTGCATATGATATGAATGAAATATTGGTTGTGCAGAAAGATAAAATAATATGCCCCAGTCACCTAGTGGAGTATGTAAACAACTATGCCCTTTCAATTGACCTTATGAGCATGCCTACGTATTAATCCATAAGGTCTATTTATGCAAATGCAAAATATTATTTACCTATTTACCATAAGTTGGCGGCCTCTTTATTTTACTTCTCGTACAATCGCTATGGCAATGACATCTTCTACGTTTCAACAATGTCAATCGTTGGAACTGAGCCCCGAGTCAAGAAGCGTTCGGTGTAACTGCTATCGAAACCTTGTAAATTGCTCTAGAGCTCTCGTTAAAATAGCTCTCGTCAAAATAGTTCTCGTCAAAATGTGCCGAGCACAACCATATTCTTGAAGAAGACGTTTCAGGGTCGAAGTCAGATCGATGTCTTCAAACAAAACGAACCCATTGCCTTCGTAGGTGGAGCTGTCATTCATTATAGTCAAGCAACAGACAGAAATCTTTTGGAAACAATGCATGCTATTAAAAATGCTGGTGTGTCGCCACTATTTGTGCATGTCTTCTTATTTGGCCCTCCAGGAACACAAAACACTTTTAGAATTTTCCCCCCTCATTTCACATGAATGAGACGTTTCCTCCAGGGTGTCTGTAAAAGCCAGAACCCCACCCGGAACACCCGCAACCCACCCGGAACACCCGGAATCCCACCCGGAACACCCGGAACCCTACCCGGAACACCCGGACCCCCTCCCGGAACACCCGGAACTCCTCCCGGAACACCCGGAACCCCACCCAGAACACCCGGAACTCCACCCGGAACACGCTGGAATACGAGCTATGAAGCAACGCACTTGTTTCTCTATAAATTCACGTGTTTCGCATTAAATTCGGGGTGATGGATGGTTACGATCTTTACTTTTTACTTGTATTGTTGTTTTTTTAAATAATTTTTCTCATGGGCAAGGATAAATATATTATGTCGGGCGGTATATAATATCAAATGCATGAGTTTTGCTTGTTTGTAAACGTGCAAACGAAGTTTCGCTCGAGGCGTTTGCCGCATGTATTTATTGCCGCATCTATATTTTTCGTTTTCAATATTCTGCCGTACTATGTACCTGTGACTCTATTCTAAATTTAGTTGAACAATAACCAATATTTAATTTTGCTATCTTTTTTATTATTTGAATAATATGTTTGCATATGGTTATTTGACTTGCAATTGTATGATCGAAACGGCGCCATGTAGGAATTTAGAGGAATTATAAAGTTCATCCGTATTTATTACAATAATAATTCTCGTGGATTTGGGAAATTTGTCATGGATATCGATTTCTTTACTAGACTTACTCGTTTTTTTTTTAACTTTTAAAGACGTTTTAGTAATTTGGAGGCTGTTTTGTATATGACAATGATTGCAGCCTACAGTAAAAGTGCACGCGCGAGATCTCAGAATAACAGTATTATTAAGTAAGCCCCCTTGATGAGTGTGTACGCTCTTGGGGCAAACTCATTCTCATCAGAAATATGTTTAAATAAAGTAGCTAATATATTATATGTATTGCTAGAAATTCCCAAAACATTCATTTGTCATTGAAAACGTTAACAACCAACAAGCAGGATGATGTCATATAAATATAGAGCACGAGGCAAGACGTCCATGTTCCTTCGATCAACGGCAGTAAATAAATATTGTATTTAATGTATTAAATTAAGGACTGTGTTATACTGTTGAAGTTATAACATGAACGTTTTGCCTAGTTGCTAGTGCTTTATATATACGACACCAGCTTGTTGATTTGGTTGTCAACGTTTTCAATGACAAATGAATGTTTTGGGAATTTCTAGCAATACATATAATTTATTAGCTACTTACTGTAATAATACTGTTATTCTGAGATCTCGCGCGTGCACTTTTACTGTAGGCTGCAGTCATTGTCATATAGGCTACAAAACAGCCTCTAAATTACTAAAACGTCTTTCAAAGTTCCAAAAAGCGAGTAAGTCTAGTAAAGAAATCCATGAAAAATTTCCCACAAATCCACGAGAATTCGTATTGTAATAAATACGGATGAACTTTATAATTCCTCTAAATTCTTACATGGCGCCGTTTCATACAATTGCAAGTCAAATAACCATATGCAAACATATTATTCAAATAATAAAAAAGATAGCAAAGTTAAATATTGGTTATTGTTCAACTAAATTTAGAATAGGTACATAGTACGGCAGGTACATAGGTACATAGTACGGCAGAATATTGAAAACGAAACTGAAATATAGTACATGCGGCAAAAGCCTCGAGCGAAACTTTGTTTGCACGTTTACAAACAAGCAATACTCATGCATTTGATATTAATATGTACCGCCCGACATAATATATTTATCCTTGCCCATGAGAAAAATTATTTAAAAAAACAACAATACATGTAAAAAGTAAAGATCGTAACCATCTACCACCCCGAATTTAATGCGAAACACGTGAATTTATAGAGAAACACGTGCGTTGCTTCACAATCTCGTTCCCCGAGCCTGCGATCCTCGGGAAGGAACGCGAGACTCTGGGATAATCCGTTGCCGGAAGCCAGGAATCCTGGCTAAGATTGAACTACGCATTGCATTTCAACGGCCAATCAGATGCCTCCCTGAAACGGATTATCCCAGAGCCTCGCGTTCCTTCCCGAGGATCGCAGGCTCGGGGAACGAGATTGGTTGCTTCATAGCTCGTATTCCAGCGTGTTCCGGGTGGGGTTCCGGGTGTTCCGGGTGGGGTTCCGGGTGTTCCGGATGGGGTTCCGGGGGTTCCGGGTGTTCCGAGTAGGGTTCCTGGTGTTCCGGGAGGGGTTCCGGGTGTTCCGGGTAGGGTTCCGGGTGTTCCGGGTGGGTTCCGGGTGTTCCGGGTAGGGTTCCGCGGGTTCCGGGTGGGTTCCGGGTGGGGTTCCGGCTTTTACAGACACCCATTGAAAAGCACTTAAACATTGCCTATGTTGCACGAAGTGAAGAAACCAGCTGGAAAATGTGACATCGACAGGGCCAAATGACCGAAATAGTATTTGTTTCCGAAGACTGGATTGGATTTTGAAGTCGCAGCTGAATGACCGAGTTGAGATTTGCCGAGTTGCTAGTTTGTTGAGTGGTTTTTGCACGTTTATCGATGGTATTCATTGTTGTTTATAGATTTAATTGCATGAATTTACTCAATCAATTTTGTATAAATTCGGTGGAATTTTCAAATATTTGCGACATTTTAAAACTTGTGACGTAATTCCGTGCGTTCGTCCTCTAATAGATCATGGCTTTCGACCAATGAAATCGAATGAATTAAGGTTATTATATAAATACAACTAAGAGACGTGACTTAATAGTATCACTGTTTTAGGAAAGTGATTAAAAATCATATTATCATTTTACCTGTTGCAGAACATTTCACTCCCGCAGCGTAATTATAATAGCAACTATGATTTCTCCATCCAGCATGAGAACAATTGGCTAGACTTTGCTCATTTCCAGTACATGCAACTTGATCTAACCATATCTGCCCATATCTTTCATTAGGGTTGACATAGACCAATTGACTTGCAAGAGGATATTGATAACCAAGTTGACGACATACAACGTTAGCATCATTTATATCCCACTGATTATAACATATTCTACCCCATCTTCCATTGTAGAATACATCCACCCGACCAGTACCATTGGAACCTAATGGTCCTATCAACCGGACGGCTATTGATTTCTCTATAAGAAATGAAACAAATATCTAATGTTACGAACATTAGACTAAGCGAATTTAATTGGAATTGCAATTATTAGTTAGGGCATTATCCTTTCTTTTCCTCTTTTGTTAACATGATATGCGCTTTTTGTTACTAAAATATGAACTTTGTACCTTTTTAACCATTACGGCCCTGTATCGAAATTGGAGACGTGCAAATTCGGTCCGAGTACAAACTGGAATCGGATCCGATCGGATTTCGTTCGGATTCTTAGGGATAAATCAAATTTCGCGCAGGGAAATTTTCCGCCATCAGTCAATAATATGTTATCAGATTATGATTGACGAATAATAGTTTTGTAATGTGGTGTATTTCGTAATTAATTTCAAATTGATAATTCGTTTGGAAAACACTGCGGAATATAAATCAGAAAAAGCAATGACAATGCACAAGCCACAATGTTTGGAACGAGTTTCAAAGGACAACAAAAACGAAAAATGTCGTGAGTAAAATATTTTGGAAGGGCTCAATTACAAAACAGAATGAGGTATAGCAGTGAGAGCAAACGTTTCGCTCAACATGACAATACAAGTGCAGAAAGCAACTGTTTTACAAACAAGTATCTATAAAGTGATTCGACCATAGCTATATCAAATTCACTAGAGCAAAACCGAAAATTTGGTACAAAAATAGAGTTTTTGCTAATCGCTTATATTCAGAAATATTAATAAATTAAATTTGAAATTAGCTGCCTTTTTGGCGATATAAATTTCAGAACGTGTCCAGAGAAACAGATGTTTTTGATAATTAGCATCGGTCGCACAATTTCGACCAATCATAGAAATCAATATCCACTGTGCAATTTCTACTAATGGAAATTAGTTCAAGAAGGGAGCTTTCAAAATACAAAAGCTTTGTTGTGATATACTACTAATTTGTAATATGTATAGGTAATAGCATGGTTTCCAGTGCAATTTGGATATAACATGCACGAGTGAGTTTTTCAAAGACCTCAAAATAGCACGAGTCCGAAGGACGAGTGCTATTTGAGGTCTTTGAAAAACTCACGAGTGCATGTTTACCAAATTTCACGAGAAACCATGCTATTACTTATTAATAATTTACATAAAAATGTTCGAGACAATTGTAGTTTTAACTTACGCGTTTATAGCGAACATTCCACCGGCAAAGTTTTCCTGGCTTTGTTATATCACATTATACAACGCTAACAGCTTGAAAATTCCACTCAACTATGTAATTTTTGTTAGTCGTGTTTAAGGTAAATGCTTTTCCATTTAAAAATAAAAATAAAAGCCATATTTTCCACGCGATGGCAACTTTTACTTTGTGTAGCGCGGCGCCATGTTTGTTTTGTTTTGTTTTGAAGCAATCTGTGACCGTTACTTCTTTAAACTAAATTGCTTTAAACTGATTGGTTGATTTAATCATCACAATGTTTTTCCACCAATCAGATCAGTTTGTTACAGATTTTTGCACTGTGATTACAGAAAATTGCACTGTGATTACAAAAAATTGCACTGTGATTACAAAAAATTGCACTGCTGTTTGGGATTAACTGCACTGCAGAAATCAACCAATCACAGTCGAGTAATATCTTTATGTATATTATTACTCTGGTAATAACACAGTATATCCAGTATGGAATTTTATTTTGGGTCTTGAGACATTACAAAAAGAATAAAAAAATATTAATAGAAATTCAAAATATCAAATGGTTTAAAAACGTAACGTTTTGATTTGGATTATTTTCGGATCGGTTTATTTTCGTGCCTATCAGATTGGATCGGTTTAAATTTGGATTCAAAATTTTCGGTTGGGTTAAATTTCGATATTAATTGTCCGTTGATCTTCAGAATCCTATACGGTCCAATTCGATCAACCTTGCAAGTCAGACTCTTTACTTCCGCTTCTCTCCCAAATTAACACGCTCTGCTGGAGCGTGTTAGGAGGGAAGCGGAAGTAGAGATCTGGCTTGCGAGGTTGCATCCGAAATGATGCACACAAAAAACGGGAATGACTGGGCTACAGATTCAATAATATTTAACAATTTTCGCTACACATTTCCATCAACAGACCTTCAAATATTTGTTCTGTGAAGCGAGAGCAACAAAATATATTGATTTATAAAATAGCCTTTTAAAAACACGGGCGCTGATTGTCAAAAGCTCAAAAAACCCGTGTTTCTATAACTCGATAGAAACACGGGGAAGACAAAATACAAACAATAATTAATTTTGAAAAAAGTTGAAAAACGTCCCGAAATGCCGAAGAACCGTTACAAAAAAGGCAAGATTTTGCTAACTTAGAAAGCGAAGACCTAAAGCACAAAGTATAATTATAGCACACATTGTATCTGTTTGACTGTTTACCAAAGTAAGATATTTTAATTTTACTTTGTCTTTTTAAAAAATGTTTCCACGCGATGTTTTTAATCATGTTTACTAATAGTTTTTAAGTACTATTTAAAAAACGAGCAGGAGTGTTTTGTTAGGTTTAAAGCCACGAGCACGCAGCGCGAGTGCAGGCTTTAGACCTACTAAAACACGACCTACGAGTTTTTTAAATGGCTCGAAGTTTTTCAATTGTTGCTCTCGATGTTGCCACATTCGTTGGATGCACTTCGAGCCATTATGAGTACGCATCGACCATGACGAGGAACATTTTCCCCAAGAATGTACCAGCATAGTCAGCATGAACTCATTCCCATGGTTGGCCTGGCCATTCCCACGGGTGCAGTGGCGCTTCAGGAGGATTCTTTCTATTTATCTGGCAGTTGTTGCACGTTCGTACTTTGTTTTCCAAATCGTTATCCATGTTCGGCCACCACACGTAGCTTCTTGCTAGACTTTTCATCTTACATATTCCTGGGTGCGTTTCATGCAATTCGTCAACCACTTGCCTTCTTCCTTGGGGTGGAACAACCACTCTGTTTCCCCAAAGTATAGAGTCGTCTTGAACACTCAGCTTCTCGTCGTTGAAAATATGGTTCAAACTCCCTATCTGGACACTTGCTAGG